AAAGTTAGAAGCCAGGTTTTTTTTTTTTTAAACAAATAAAGATTAATTTGCAATGACAAAAATGCAATCCTTAAAGGAACACTGTAACGGCACCCCCAGGCATAAAAGTTTAGTAGATCTTCCCTTCCAGAGACACAGGCACAGCTACTGCAGAACACCAATCTGCCGAACAGGAAACCATATGAATGCCGTAAACAGCCGAATAGGATAAACCATATGAATAGGTTTACACTCCTAGCAGTCAAACTGGAACAGCATACAATAAATCCCCCCAAGAATGAGACAAGGCTCTGTTTTGAGGGTCACGCAGTGAACAGACAGAGCTGTGGGTTTATTGTTCTTATATACACATTAGTACCACCCACAGGGTTTTGGAAAACAACCAATAAAGACGTACAATACACTCAGACACTCCCACACAAAATCCTCCCCTCTCCCTGTGATACAATTATACAATTACCTTACACAATGGGTAATGCAATTATCACATATAGAGAAATACAGTTTTTCCACATTATTCATAACTTTAAAAGTATGCATCACATTCACATAAAACTTACATTTTCAGAATCAGCATACATACAAACATATGTCAAAATCATACAAATTGGTCCAGTGGTTCAAAAGATAGATCGTAGTCCTTTGTAACCAAATAAAGCATGGTTTTTCTGCCCAAAACCAGTTCCACAGAGTCTTCTATCCTGGGGATAATTGGGAAGTAATCCAATTATCTCCAAGGACAGAGGCAAAACTTGATGAAACACATGGCAGCAAAAAACAATAAAACACATAAAAATATATAACTGTGCAGCCATGGCACAAAACAGGTACATTCAACATATCCCCAGATAGCTCAGATCTGAGCGCACATTATTACTGAATGGCGCTCAGAGCACACACATACAGTTCAATTGCCATGGAGCCAAAGTCTTTCCCATAGTCTTTCATTATACGAATGGTCTCCATGGCATAGCTATCTGGGGTGTCACCGCTCAAACAGGGCAAGCACCGAATGACCCGGCCTTCGTGTCTTCACAGGGGAAAATCAAGCATTTCAACATGGGGCCATAGTCTAAAGGCAGCAGGCGGGCAACCAGGCTCCTCCAATGCACAGTGGCGAGATTGGCCTCGTCACAAACACTATAGTCACTAGAACCACTACAGTTTAACATAGTATTTCTTGTGTCTATATCCTGTCCGAGCAGGCTTTTAATGTAAACACTGCCTTTTCAGAGAAAAGGCAGTATTGACATTGCTGCCTAATAATACCACTAGTGACAGTCACTCAGAAGACCAGTAGAGGTAATTCCTAGTCTCCACACTCTGCATGGAGGCACTGAATGTTAATTAAATGCATCTCTATGAGGAGATGCTGATTGGTGCAATGTTTTGTTGTGCATGCATGTAACAACCCCCCACAATATTCACTGGGGACCTCAACCTTTTCCTACCATCAGTAACATTGCTCCTTTACCTAAGAACAAACACTGTTCGTGTAATTGCCTTTGTTTACTGGATGAACAATAAAAGACTGTTCGAATACCAAATTTTTCACCGAACGCCCGACCATCCAGACAGAAGTGTGGCACTCATTGACCTCCCTGACTCTAGTATCAATGTGAAAACTGCGAACACTCCATTGGTTTAATTGTTATACAGGGTGGTCGGCGTTCGTTTGCATGAACACGTGGCAGCGGCCATTTTGTTTAGTCGAACGCACTCAGAGGTGCAGGTGTCGCTCATCTGGAAGCGTTGGGTAGTGACCAGCGGAAAGCCTGGAAACGAAACCGAGACAAGTGATCAGCAGCGGTGTTTGTGTAACCCGGGATGTGTATGCATGTTATAAAGAATTAGCAGTCTCATAATGACCAGTGATGCCGAACGGCCTTTATTCACAATGTGGCATGTAGCCAGGTTATCCGAGTAGCACCTGACGTGTGGCCAGACCAATATGGTCCCCAAGCAATGGCTGCCGCCACGATTGGGTACAACTCAAATAAAGCCGAAGTGTCAGAAAATTTGGGTAGTGATTCGACTTCGGTAGGCCAAGGGCCCCAAAGCTATTGGTCACCCCAGATGGCGGCAAAGCCTGTGTTAGCTGCGGCATCTGTCCATAATGTAGGTGATGTGTCGGATGGGGGTGGTATAAACATGGTTCGCTCGTTCCAAGAGGTGAGAAAGACCCGCCACATGCGTAAATCAGAAGTTGCGTGTACATCTAATGTGATATGTGAAGTGTCTGAAGAAAACAGTGGAAACAAAGATAACAGGTGGGATATAAACGATCTACCTTGGGGTATGATCCTCATGGCAAAATTGAGCGATCCAAGTAGTGATTGGAGTTCTTTCCGATTGCAATGACCTTGTAGCAGTTAATATTCAATACTTGCCAGGGTACGCTCAATCTTGTCCTGAGGTAGACTGGCCTGCATGTTTATCGTGTCTAGTTGTATGCCCAAAAATTGCATGTAGGTATCTGGACCCAAAGTTTTGTGAGGAGAGACAGGAATGGTAAGAGATTCAAACAGTGCCAATAAGTGATTCAAACTACTAGGTGGAAGAGTGTTATTCTCAATCAAGAGGAAATCGTCCGGATAATGGATAACCGAAGGGCATTTGCACACATTTAGTAAGAGCCAACATAGAGCCTCTGCAAATGTGTCAAAAATACGTGGACTGCTTTTGGATCAGAAAGTAAGTCGGGTGAAAAAATAATACCTCCCTTGCCATTTAATACCGTGTAGATGCCACAGGGAAGGGTGTATGAGTAGTAGCTTGAAGGCGTTTACCACGTCTGTTTTACTCAGCCATGCTCCCGTACCTGCTTGTATAATGGCCCCTATGGCATGGTCGATAGTGGCGTAGTGCAGTGAAAATTCTTCAGAAGGTATTAGAGAGTTTAGGCTGGGGATAGTGGAGGAGTGTGGTGCTGATAGATCAATGATCAGTCTGGGTTTAAGTGAGGTCTTCCCTGTGACCACCCCTGTAGGATTGGTTCTCCAGGACGTGAAGGGTGGGGAAAAGAATGGTCCCAACAGAAACCCTTGTTCCAGCTCAGTTGAGATAAGTATATTTACCAACTGTGGATTGTCTAATGTGGACTGTAGGTTGTCGCATTCCAGTGTACCGGAGGGTAAATGGACCAACCCAGTGTGAAAACCCTCCAGTCATGCCCAAAATAATATATTCAGTGAAATGACGTGAAGGATGTGGCTGTAAAAGTGATGTCAATAAAGTGACATTCACACACGTGTGATACGGTTTTGGGAATGCTTTATTTGGGCACATGGTTTTGGCATGGGCTCTAAAACAGTGTGAACACACATGCATTAGTCTACATGAACTAAAACCACAATTGCCCGCATTTAAATTATTGCATATCTGAGATTTACCCAGGAATACAATGTCTCTCCCCAGCTTGTCTTTTAATCCCTTGGTAGCTTTAGGAAAGTTAGGGGAAGATTGGTTTTGTTCGATCTCGGCTGTGTTAGGGGAGAGATTCATGTGATGTGCTGTAGATGCGCATAGTGCACATGCTGGAGGCCTGAGGCCTGCAAAATGCCTGCAGAATAGCTCAGTGTCCAATTTGCTCCAATTAATGCTTAAATTGAACTGAGCCAGAGCTGCAGCCACCTTTGCAGAAAAGGAACGGTGGTAATCGTAAAAAGCGGTACCACCGTATTTGTGCCCCAGGTCCACCAACTTGTTCATGTATGCATCCAACTCTGCTCTTTTCCCTGGGTATACTGAGCAGTACACATGCCTATAAATCCCAAAACCCAGTACAAATTCAGGTATTGACAGTTTTTTATTTAGTCTAGGGTCTCTAGACCTTAGTACGACAGATATATCCCCATATGCAAAAGTCCTATTCTCTAGGACATCCTGGGAGGCTATAAGCAATGACACCAGGTTGACATCCTTGCCTTCCAGAATGTCCTTTTTAAGGTGAGATGGGACCATGTGTGAGGGGTTAACGTCTTCGCTAAGAGATACTGATTCCAAAGTATTACCAGTTATGTCAGCCAGAGGGTGACTGGCCGCAATTGGGTTCGTAGCGGTCTGTTTAGTACCACTTGTTTCCAATTTATCCAGTCTGTCATTAATTGTGCTGATGGATGACATGAGCGAGGTCATCATGGTGTGAAATGTTGGCAATTGTGCGCCACTAGGGCCTTCCCCTGCATTAGAGTTGTCAGTGCCCATATTCAAAAGTCTGAACAACTCAGCTTTCCTAGCAGGAGCTGGGAAAGGGATGCTGCGTCTTCTAAGTTCTGCCGTGAGACGTGGGATGGTCCATGATCTGAGAGAAGCAGGACTAGCAACGTCTGTTGCAGGAACAGGGGTACCAGGCCTAGCAGGAGTGCAGGGTAGCGAGAGTTCCTCGGGGATATCAGGGTTATTAGACATAACTGAAAAATATAAGTAAGTTTTAATTAGGGATCGACCGATATTGATTTTTCAGAGCCGATACCGATACCGATATTCTGTGAACTTTCAGGCCGATAGCCGATATAATTTGCCGATATTCTGTACATTTACCATTTTGGAAAATAAAAACTATTTCTAAAGGTAAATGCACAAAATATACATGCCACGTGTAGTGGATGCAGTGTGACAGGGGAGCTGTGTGTGTTTGTGTAGTGTGTGTGTAGTGGATGCAGTGTGTGTTTGTGTAGTGTGTGTTATGGATGCAGTGTGTGTTTGTGTAGTGTGTGTGGAGGATGCAATGTGTGTTTGTGTAGTGGATGCAGTGTGTATTTGTCTAGTGTGTGTAGTGGATGCAGTGTGTATTTGTCTAGTGTGTGTAGTGGATGCAGTGTGTATTAGTGTAGTGTGTATATAATGAAAGCAGAGTGTTTGTGTAGTGTGTGGGTAGTGTGCATAAAGTGAATGCTGTATATACTAAATGCAAAGTGTGTGTGTATATAATGAATGCAGAGTGTGTGTGTATTTGTGTAGTGTGTGTATAGTGAATGTAGTGTGTTTATATAATGTGTGTGTTGTATAGTGTGTGTATATAATGCAGTGTGTTTGTGTAGTGTGCATTATATAAACACACTACACAAACACACTGCATTATATACACACACTGCATTATATACACACACACACACTGCATTATATAAACACACTACACAAACACACACACTGCATTATATACACACTTCACAAACACACACTGCACAAACACACTACATAAACACACACCGAATTATATAAACACACTACACAAACACACTGCATTATATACCCACACTACACAAACACACACTGCATTATATACCCACACTACACAAACACACACTGCATTATATACACACACTACAAAACACACTGTGTATATACACAGTGTGTGTTTGTAGTGTGTGTATATAATGCAGTGTGTGTTTGTGTAGTGTGGGTATATAATGCAGTGTGTTTGTGTGCATTGTATACAAACACACACACACACACTATACAAACACACTGCATTATATACACAGTGTGTTTGTGTAGTGTATATAATGCAGTGTGTGAGGGGGCATTTTTTATTAAATTATTTAAAAAAAAAATTATTTACTTAATTATTATTTATTTCTGTTGTCCCCCCTCCCTGCTTGTTACCTGGCCAGGGAGGGGGGATATAGCAGTCCCTGGTGGTCCAGTGGTATTGCTGAGCTTTGGGGGGGGCGGGCAGCAAGCGCTTACTCACCTCCCAGCAGCTCCTCCAGCTCCCCAGTGCAACTCTCGCGGCCAGCGTGTCGCGCGGAGCGTTGCCATGGTGATCCATGGCAACGCTCTGACGGCCGCTGGTCTCGCGAGAGTTGCACTGGGGAGCTGCTGGGAGGTGAGTAAGCGCTTGCTCTCCGCCCCCCCAGGACCGCCGGGCTTGTAATGAGCCCGGCGGTCCCAGGAGGTATTATATCAATCACTCTGTAATGTTTGATTTGGGTGGGTACTGGTAAGGCTAGCTAAATGCCAAGCGGCGAAACAATTATACTTATGGATGGTGACAGATGAGTCCCTACTAATTGCCAAGCAGCCTGAGAGGCGCTACCTATGCGTGGGCCCGAGGGGAACGTATGAGGCCACCGAACGTTGTGGCGGGGTGTGTGCCTCTCGGTGGTATTTAAAGCATAAGATAGATTGGGAGTGACAAGTGAGGCCCTCTCTATGCGACAATGTGAGACGGCTAGCTATGATTTGGCCCGAGGGGCGTATTCCTCCGAGTATGAGGAGAGGGGTGTTGGTCTCGCGGGACCACTAGCCTATGGATTAAGACCAGAAACTTTTACCTAGTTGGGTCATATAACCTAGGACCAGTACCCCTCAGAACATTGTAGAGGGGAAAAAAAAAAAAAAAATGGGTTCTGGCGTAGTACCTGATATGTGAGACAGGTTGCGCTGTCGAGGTAGAAGTAATCAGGGACTGTAAGAGTCTCGAGATGATTACCTGTTGGATATGAGATTTGATATATGAACGTGTGATTAACGTAGTTTTAATGGCCAGATCGTGGACCCTAAAAACAAGGAACCTACCCGACACTGCAGAAGGTAGATTTAACGAAATTGACGACGGTTCTCCGTGCTTGTAAAAGCTACCGTTTTGAAGGCAAACAACCTAAAAAGTAAAATACATGCTTAACTAATGTAATGTATATCATTGAACTTTATAAAACATAATTTAAACAATAACCAACCTATAAGAAATTGATACCAATGACAGATTTCACAATTCCCAGTACGAACCACTGGGATGACTCTGTGGGGGAAAACCAATTCAGGAAATCAGGACCCATCAACTTGTTTAACAACATTCCTATTTAAAATAGATTTACTGCAATAACATTTGTAACCAGTAGGGGCTAACTTCCCTTGGAGTACTGGCTGAATTCATTTTTAATACGTGCGTTAGTGTAGCTGCCGAAAGAGCTATGTAGAGTATAGTAACAACCGAATAGATACACCATAATTTACATGCGAAACCAACCGATTGATTTTTAAGTATGATTTAACCGAACGATATCGTTCGTTAGTTTGAATTTGTGAAACACTTGAATAGCAGAGTAAAGCATTAAAACGAATTGATTTGGGTGGGTATAATAAAACAAACCGAACGTAGATTTGAACCGAACGGGGCGCCGCCGTGTAAAGCAGGGGAATTGCAGCGGTTGCTTTACGGTGAGCCTGACTTACGGTTTTTGTGAAGACGAAGCACCGAACGAGCTGTGCGGACGCCGGCGACGGTAAGGAAAGCCAGGGGAGCCCGGACCAGGAGACCACGATGGGACAGTTAAGGAAAATCCAAGATGGCGGTCTGAACCAGGAAGTAACGTTTAAGACTCGCCAGACCAGCAACGGTAAGGTGGGAGTGGATTGGCAGCCCTTTTAAAGGTGAACCAAGCCCCTCCCACAACTCCAGGCCAAGCCTTCAAATATATGCATAATACGCACATAAATGTCATTAATATATACATATATGTAATGAACACGTATTAGCCTAGTCTTGCTGCAAACGCCAGCATAATAACATATTCAAAGTGAAGAGCGCACCCATAGGACTTCAAAATGAACACGATAACTTCATTTTTTTTCAGTTGTGCAACGGCATACATTCGCCATTTCAGTCCCATTACTAAAATGTCCTTAACAGGCCAAAGTAGTTGTACTGAAACATTGATTACATGCAAATGTATGTCTGCTTAAAATAAAGGCACTCTTTTGTTTATTTTGAAGCCCTATATCAGGGGCGGACTGACCACTCGGGCACTTCGGTCATGGACCGAGGGCCCGAGGCAGTCAGGGGCCCGGCAGCACAGCCTTGTTCCAGCTGGAGAGATCTGAGATCTCTCCAACTGGAACGGCAAAATAATAAAATAGAACTATTTAATCGATAGGTTGTGGGGCCCCTGATGCAGCACGGGGCCCCCACAACCTACCGCTCTGCACATCCCCCCCCCCCATGGAGACCTGGCAGCTTCACCTCCTCCCTGCCAGGTCTCCGGCTTCCTCTCCCATGCGGCTCTGTGTGATGGGAGAGGCGGGGCCAGGAAGTGACATCACTTCCTGTTTACTCCTCTCACACAGAGCCGCATGGAGAAGGAGCAGGGGAGAGAAGAGGGAGCAGAGATGCAGGTAGGCACCAATCACCCCCTCCCCCCCCCTCACTGTCACTAGTCACCCCCCCACTGTCACCAGTCACCCCCCCACTGTCACTAGTCACCTCCACTGTCACCAGTCACCCCTACAGTCACCAGTCACCCCTCACAGTCATTAGTCACCCCCACTGTCACCAGTCACCCCTCACAGTCACCAGTCACCCCTCACAGTCACTGTCACTCCCCCACTGTCACCAGTCACCCCCACTGTCACTTGGTCAATTCCCCACTGTCACCAGTCACCCCCCACTGCTTGCTAGTCACCCCCTCACTGTCACTAATCACCCCTCACTGTCACTAGTCACCCCTACTGTCAATAGTCACCCTCAATGCCCAAACTTCTACTGTCATTTGTCACTTCTCACTGTCACTTCAGTCACTCCCCACTGTCACTAGCGTCACTCCTCACTGTCACCAGCTGCCTCACTGTCACAGCCAGCCTCACTGTCACCAGTCACCCCCCCTCACTGTCACCAGTCACCCCCCCTCTCTGTCACTAGTCACCCTCTCCCTCACTCTGTCACTACTCACACCCTCCCTCACTGTCACTAGAGTGAGGGGATGACTGGTGACAGAGTGAGGGGATGACTGGTGACAGAGTGAGTTAGGGGGTGACTAGTGACAGAAGGAGGGATGGAGTAGTGACAGAGGGAGGTGGTGACTAATGACAGTCACCACCTCCCTCACTCTGTCACTAGTCACCCCTTCCCTTACTCTGTCACTAGTCACCCCCTCACTCTAGTGACAGTGAGGGAGGGTGTGACTAGTGACAGAGTGAGGGAGGGAAGTGGTGACTAGTTGACAGCGTTAGGGAGGGAAGGGGTGACTAGTGACAGAGGGAGGGGTGACTAGGGACAGAGTGAGGGAGGTGGTGACTAGTGACTAGTGACAGTCACCACCTCCCTCACTCTGTCACTAGTCACCACCTTCCTCACTGTGTCACCCCCTCCCTCTGTCACTGGTCACCCACTCCCTCCCTCACTCTGTCACTAGTCACCCCTTCCTTCCCTCTGTCACTAGACACCCCCCTCACTCTGTCACTAGACACCCCCCTCACTCTGTCACTAGACACCCCCCTCACTCTGTCACTAGTCACCCCCTCACTCTAGTGAAAGAGTGAGGGAGGGGGTGACTAGTGACAGAGAGAGGGAGGGTGTGACTAGTGACAGAGAGAGGGAGGGGGTGACTAGTGACAGAGTGAGGGAGGGTGTCACTAGTGACAGAGTGAGGGAGGGTGTCACTAGTGACAGAGTGAGGGAGGGTGTCACTAGTGACAGAGAGAGGGAGGGGGTGACTAGTGACAGTGAGGGAGGGGGTGACTAGTGACAGAGTGAGGGAGGGGGTGACTAGTGACGGTCACCACCTCCTTCACTCTGTCACTAGTCACCTCCTCCCTCACTCTGTCACTGTGTCACCCCCTTCCTCACTCTGTCACTAGTCACCCTCTCTCTCACTCTGTCACTAGTCACCCCCTCCCTCACTCTGTCACTAGTCACCCCCTCCCTCACTCTGTCACTAGAGTGAGGGGGTGACAGAGTGAGGGAAGGGGATGACTGGTGACAGAGTGAGGGAGGGGATGACTGGTGACAGAGTGAGGGAGGGGGTGACTGGTGACAGAAGAAGGGAGGGAGTAGTGACAGAAGGAGGGAGGGAGTAGTGACAGAGGGAGGTGGTGACTAGTAACAGTCACCACCTCCCTCACTCTGTCACTAGTCACCCCTTCCTTCCCTCACTCTGCCACTAGTCACCCCTTCCCTCACTCTGTCACTAGTAACCCCCTCACACTAGTGACAGAGTGAGGGAGTGACAGAGAGAGGGAAGGGGGTGACTAGTGACAGAGTGAGGGAGGAGGTGACTGTCACTAGTCACCCCATCCCTCTCTCTGTCACTAATCACTCCCTCCTAACTCTGTCACTGTGTCACCCCCTCCCTCACTCTGTCACTAATCACCCCTCTGTCCTTAGTGACAGAGTGAGGAAGGGGGTGACTAGTGACATAGTGAGGGAGGGGGTGACTAGTGACAGAGTGAGAGAGGGGGTGACTAGTGACAGAGTGAGGGAGGGGGTGACTAGTGACAGAGAGAGGGAGGGGGTGACTAGTGACAGAGTGAGGGAGGGGAGGGGGTGACTAGTGACAGTCACCACCTCCTTCACTCTGTCACTAGTCACCCCCTCCCTCAGTCACTAGAGTGAGGGGGTGACTAGTGACAGAGTGAGGGGGGTGACAGAGTGAGGGAAGGGGATGACTGGTGACAGAGTGAGGGAAGGGGATGACTGGTGACAGAGTGAGGGAGGGCGTGACTAGTGACAGAAGGAGGGAGGGAGTAGTGACAGAGGGAGGTGGTGACTAGTGACAGAGTGAGGGAGGTGGTGACTAGTGACAGTCACCACCTCCCTCACTCTGTCACTAGTCACCCCTTCCTTCCCTCACTCTGCCACTAGTCACCCCTTCCCTCACTCTGCCACTAGTCACCCCCTCACTCTAGTGACAGAGTGAGGGAGTGACAGGTGACAGAGTGAGTGACTAGTGACAGAGTGAGGGAAGGGGTGACTGTCACTAGTCACCCCATCCCTCTGTCACTAGTCACTCCCTCCTAACTCTGTCACTGTGTCACCTGCTCCCTCACTCTGTCACTAGTCACCCCTCCCTCACTCTGTCACTAATCACCCCCTCTGTCCTTAGTGACAGAGTGAGAGAGGGGGTGACTAGTGACAGAGTGAGGGAAGGGGTGACTGTCACTAGTCACCCCATCCCTCTGTCACTAGTCACTCCCTCCTAACTGTGTCACCTGCTCCCTCACTCTGTCACTAGTCACCCCTCCCTCACTCTGTCACTAATCACCCCCTCTGTCCTTAGTGAGAGAGGGGGTGACTAGTGAGAGTGAGGAAGGGGGTGACATAGTGAGGGAGGGGGTGACTAGTGACATAGTGAGGGACGGGGTAACACAGTGACAGAGTTAGGGAGGGAGTGACAAGTGACAGAGAGAGGGATGGGGTGACTAGTGACAGTCACCCCCTCTCTCACTCTGTCACTAGTCACCCCCTCTCTCACTCTGTCACTAGTCACACCCTCTCTCACTCTGTCACTAGTCACACCCTCTCTCACTCTGTCACCAGTCATCCCTTCCTTCCCTCACTCTGCCACTAGTCATCCCTTCCCTCACTCTGTCACCAGTCACCCCTTCCTTCCTTCACAATGACAGAGTTAGGGAGGGAGTGACTAGTGACAGAGAGAGGGATGGGGTGACTAGTGACAGAGAGAAGGATGGGGTGACTAGTGACAGAGAGAAGGATGGGGTGACTAGTGACAGAGTGAGGAAGGGGGTGACTAGGGAGAGAGGGGGTGATTAGTGACAGAGTGAGGGAGGGGGTAACACAGTGACAGAGTAAGGGGGTGACTAGTGACAGAGTGAGGGAGTGGGTGACACAGTGACAGAGTTAGGGAGGGAGTAACTAGTGACAGAGAGAGGGATGGGGTGACTGGTGACAGTCACCCCCCCCTCACTCTGTCACCAGTCATCCCCTCACTCTGTCACTAGTCACCCCTTCCCTCCCTCACTCTGCCACTAGTCACCCATTCCCTCACTCTGTCACTAGTCTCCCATTCCCTCACTCTGTCACTAGTCTCCCATTCCCTCCCTCTGTCACTAGTCTCCCATTCCCTCCCTCTGTCACTAGTCTCCCCCTCTCCTTCCCTCTGTCACTAGTCACCCACTCCCTCACTCTGTCACCAGTCACCCCCACTCACTGTGTCTCCCCCTCACTCTGCCACCACTCAACCCCTCCCTCCCTCTGCCACCAGGTACCCCCTCACTCTGCCACCTGTCACAACCTCCCACACTCTTCCACCTGTCACCTTCTCCCTCATACACTCTGTCACCTGTCACATATGCATTCACACAGACACTATATACAAAAAGCACATGTAGTCATCCAGACATGCACAAGTGCATTCACACAGACTCAAATACAAACATGCATTGATACACAGGTCTTCACAATACACACATCCAAAGGAATGCCGTATTATGAATTATATTTAACATTTATTAAAATGCACATATATTTGGCCTTCAAAGGGCCTGGGATCTAATTTTGCCCGGGGGCCCCAAAGGCTCTCAGTCCGCCCCTGTATTGGGATGATTGGGCACGCACCTCTGACAGTATGCCTTGTGGGACCACTCAACTTATAGGCGAAGAGCCCTATGGGACCATACCTAATTTGGCGAGAGCTCAATCCTACTTGTGACCCTGCCTGGGTTTACTATATATAGTATGGAAAAATAACTATATAAGTCATTAAGATGTGTGCTTATATAACGTTTTGATGGTGTGCCAGAAAGCCAGAATCACATTAAGTCCCTGAATTCCCTTTAAATCCTTATTTTTGGTTAGCAAATAATACAATGACATAGTGTAGCGTTGCAATAGCAATACAGGAACACAATTTGACAAGGAATTACACATAGATGAAAGATGTATGCAAGTAATAATGTTAGCTTGCATGTCAATCATTATCGTCACTCATTCCTTGCTCCTTTTTTTGTTCTTCAATATTTAATGGATAGAAGGTAAGTAATATCAAGATGCAGTCAGGCAGCAGAGTGATGTGTAAATAAGGCATGTCGATGGTCATGGCCATGGAAATGGGAAGGCCGAATGCCATACTGGACAAAGGAGGAGGATCTCAGCTTCTTGAGGGTGATCTGTAACAATGTGGGGCCTTGCACAGTCCTGAGTATGGGATATTTTCCAGAGTAGAGTATGGATTGGGTGTATCCGACTTGGGAAGAAGGATAGTGCAAAGGTGGGTTGGGAGAGTGAGCCAAGCATTTGTGTTTTGGGTGATATGCTGAGGTTGTTCAGTTGATTGTGACAATTGGCAGCATGGAAACCTGCAAATGGACACGTAAAAAAATAAAGGAGACAATATCACTCAACAGCATACTTTGTTTAAACAAAAGTTAACAAACTATATAGAATAAGAAGGGTAGTACCTCCTGCTGATGTTGTTGCCATTTTAAATAACTTATAAGTTAATTTACAAATCCTTTTTATTCAAGTACCATGTGGACATTGTGGAACCCACTTGCGTCCCAATTAGAGGTTCCGGGAGCGTAAAGCACACATAGTGCGTTCCAGGAGATTTATATAGGAAGGGGGATGCTGGAATACCTAATCTCATCATAGGAAATGATGCAAAAAGATCGATGGAATGCAAGTTGCATTCCACAGCCGATATAGACAGTATTGGGTAAACATGTTTTGGTGATTTGATTATTGCTATTACATGTATGGACTTGATTTTTGTTTTTTGTGTTACTTTATATAATTTGATGTTTTATTTCTAAAAATACATTTTTGCAACTTATCCTTGGTGTAATCATCTAATGCTTCAGCAAAGCGATGTTTATACAGTTACTATCCTACAGATTCACTGAGCAGGGCTGTGGATCTACTTAAGTATCCTAAGGTGAAATTGTGGCTCTACTTTTGTGAGTGTATTAAACTTATATTACATACAGTGAAATATAGAAATAGAGAAAACCTATCAGGGAGAAGGTGTCAGGTTGCTCTAAGATAGGGGGGGATAACCCCCGGGATATGAACTAAAGAATAAAGAGAAGAAACAAAAGAGTGAACCATAAAGTAGGTGAACGCTCTCCTCATTCTTTGCCGTCACACACCAAACTAACAGATGTTTTATGTCAGGCGAGAATGTAAACGCCAATAGTCAAAATTTTTGTAAAATTTTTTTTTAGTTTATTGGACTGCAAGAAATGCACCGCAGGCCACAAATGTACTATTTAGCACCAAAAAAATAGAATTTTAGAACCGCAGGCACCAAATTGACTTTTTAGCACCTAAAAAATTTGAATGTTTAAAACTGCAATGTAAGCACAATATTTGATGGTTCTCTTTGACTCTCAGATATGAAGTGCAGGCACCAAATTGACTTTTTAGCACGTAAAGAATTTGAATGTTTAAAAATGCGCTGTAAGCACAGTATTTGACGGTTCTTTTTAACTTTCAGATTTGAAGTGCACAGCAGGCCGCAAATGTACTATTTAGCACAAAAAAGTTTGATTTTAAACCAACAATGTAACAGTAGTATTTAAGGGTTTTATAGGACTGCAAGAAATGCAGTACGCAAATGTACTATTTAGCACCAAAAAAATTGCTGTATTTAAAAATGCCTAGATGTTACCCACTGAGCTACCAGAACAGGATTAAAGTAATGTGCCTGGCACACATGCAGTTGCAAGTGCACTGCACTCTGTGGCACTGGGCTCAGGGCAGGGTACAAAAATGTAGTATTATAGCACCCACAAAAATAATTGCTGTACTTTGAATAATCGATGTTGTTTGCAGATTCAACATCAGAATTATTTCCTAATCTGTCCCTCACAGCTGCAGCATCCTCTCCCTACACTAATAAGAGCTCATGTGCGGGCGGCGCTACACGACTCCAGCTTATATATAGAGGCTGGGTCAGATGCTGCACTGGCCAGTCACAGTCATGCCATTGGTAGGCATGGCTGTGATGGCTTCTAAGGGCACACGAGTCAAACGCTTGTTGATTGGCTGCCCTGCAGCCTTTCAATAGGCGCCATTAAATCACCGAACACTGAACTCCAACCCGAACATAGAGTGATATGTCCGTGTTCGGTTCCAGGGTCCAAAAACCGTAATGTTTGGTACGAACCCGAACTTTACAGTTTGAGTTCGCTCAACTCTAACTATAACTCTATATCTTTCATATGGCCATATATTAAATTATTTTTTTACACTACAATATTTATACTAATATTTTACATCATATATTTTTGTATTGCATTCCTTATTTTTATTCTACATCATTGACTCATGTTTTGAGGTCTTTCAAGACCAATTTCTGTATGATATTATCGTTTATTTTCTGACCCTAGTTGTCATAGAGAGTCCTAAATATGTATAAATGTATACATTTTTGGTTCCTCTTATTCTTCCCCTAGACTAGATATCGTGAACGGACTTAGCGTTTCACAGTGGAACACAAACCACACAAATGTTGTTTTGAAAAAGGAAATGACGTCAATACAGAACAGAAGTCACAGAGCATTCCACCGTGTAACGCACGCCACGAGATTGTGGACATAGCTGATACGCATTGGATATACTCTCTAGAGACTTAGGATCTATTTGTCCTCAGACTTTTACTTTTATTTTCATTTTTATTGTTTTATTATTCATCATTGTTCCTGCATCCTCAGCTCCATGGGTGAACTATACTTCCTGGATCCGCTGGATGCGGAATTATGCTTATTTTTAATCTGAATTTGTAAGTGCAATCTAAATAAATCTTGTATTTTATATATACCATCTGCACTATCTTTTGTTCTCTGTTTCCATTACAAGCAAAGAATCATAATACGCTTTCAATTTTCAATTTGAAAACAATGAAAAATGGAATACAGTACATTTTGAAAACTGTGATACATTTTATACCATGAGGCCTTTAGACTGTGGTGCCTTTAAACGTTGACTTTTTGCACCTGGTTGCCTTTTAAACTTCTCTGCATGCACTTTTATGTTATCTATTTTGCTTCCCCTCAGTCCCAGTGATTTATTCCCAATTTCCTGGGTGCTCAGGGGCCATGTATGCTACAGACAGAGTTCTCTCCCTGGTCTCTAAACAGCAAACACACTCGGAATAGGCCCACACGTGTGCAGTTTGTGCCTCTATGGGCCTACTACAGAGGACTTGCATTGTGGGTATACAAGTTGTGGCAGCCATCTTGGATTAGGGCAATTGCCAGAAAGTACCTAAAATAAAGGTAAAATTACAGTAAACATTCCAGATTTATTTGGTAAGTATTTCCAGGGTCTCCAGACATGGATAAGTGCTGTCGTCAGCCAGTTTTATATCTGTTTCACTGTTTTCTTATAGAATTTAACAGTGCACTTTTTTACTTAATACTTTACCATAGGTAATATTTAGTTATTATTTGTCTGATAGATAAAAGTAGGTATGAAAACCTACACGTACTAGGAGATCCCTAACCAGATGTTGTCACTAATACAAATGTTAAAAGCAGATAATACAGTGAAGAGCACATAAGAAAATATAAAACTTAAAGTGCAATATATGTGTGCTCACTAGGTGGCGACCTTGTATCATAAATATTCTCACGTAGGAGGGGGTTGGTTAACTAAGTATTGTGTTCCCAGCAGCAATAACTGGAGATTAAAAGAAAAAAAATCTAATAAAATAGCAATATAAGTGCAAATATGTCCTTTGGAATCAAATAAAGATATAAATAAATATACTATCAGTGAATAACTTTCAAAATTCACAAAATAGTCCAAAAATAGTCCAAAAAATGTGGCAATAGAACCAACTGACAGTCTCTGGATATCAAAGTTCTTATAATGCAGGAAAAATAGATGCCAATATCACAACCAACACAATGTGTTACTGTCAATGAGAACTGACAGCAGCAACTTAGTGTCAAGTTGTGCAAACAATATAACCAACAGTGGTATAAAACAGTAGAAGCAGAAACATAAGATTGTAGTAGAAAAACTATTACTCATAGACCACCATAGCAGGTACATGGTAATATGATTTCCTTGATGGTCTTGAAATAATGA